CTATTATTATATAAGTATCGTTATAATATGTTTTTTACTACTCGCGGTACGGGGAATCTGGTTTAAAAGGCCGTATAGGGTTGTTGGATTTTAGAAGTGCTATATGCCAAAATGGTCATGCCTTCCGGTGTTTTATGTCTGGCCCTTGTCTGTACATAGTGGTTGGAAAGTATTGTTTAAACGCTTATATATAATAATAAAACTAATAATTAGTCACGGTAGATATTAGACTAAAATCTAGTGGTAATAATACTAGGTTTCATCGAAGGAAATTATTTTAAAGTAAACGAAGCGTTGTCCGAGTACCGAGTCACCACCTTCTTAGGTGAGTGCATAGTTACTTTCATCTTACACATAGATATGAAATATTTTATATAAATTACGTGTTATGTGTGCATATTATCTGAGTACTTGATGTCTATGCTAGATGAACGATTTTATACATGTTTTAAATGATTTAAACTGTATATGTATTTTATATCTACAATAATATTGGGGTAAACATGGGTAGATGTAATAGATGAAATATGAGTTGGATGATGATTTGAGAGGTGTTATAGACCATGAGGTGAGGGTGAGAGGTGGACGATGTGAATAGCCTTTCCCAAATGATGGCTCCATCATTGAGTAGAGTATGGATGACAACCACGGACCATTCTAGACAGTCCAGTGGAACACTAGCAGGCTCGCAACCTTAAGGTGTTGTGAACGATGTGTTCACGTGGTGTACTCTAAACCCTAGCGTCCATGCAAACTTGGTGCCTAAACCTTGGTGATCATGCAGACTTGATGCCTAAACTTTGGTGATCATGCAGACTTGATACCTAAACCTTGGTGATCATGTAGACTTGATTCCTAAACCCTGGCGACTATGCAGACTTGGTGCCTAAACCCTAGCGACTATGCAGACTTAGTGCCTAAGCCCTGGCGACTATGCAGACTTAGTGCCCGTTGTGTAAACCGTGGAACCGATGGACTTCGTGCCGATTCCTTAGGATGATCCTTAGGAATGAGTGAACGAGAAATAGTTGATTCTTAGGGTAGATCCTTAAGAATAAATAAGAAAATGGGGTTGGGTAATTGGGCTGATTTCTTGATTGTTAAAACATAATAATTATATTATTGTGGGTTGAAAACCCTATGTACTCACCAGGTTTCCCAACCTAACCCACTCAGTTTATTTGTATCACAGGTGTCGATATGAAGTTACATTACACTAAGAGATTTAAAAGAGATGTAGATCACTAGTGAAAATGAATGTAAGTTCTGTTTATTCTTATGTTTCTGTATTGACGATGACATCCCAAATGTTTTAAAATGAATAAAAATATTTTTCTTCGGAAATGCTTTGATAGCGTATTTATCATGTTTTACTGGGAACAAATTCCGCAACATTTTTATTAAAATAGGTACTCTGATTTTTATAAGCATAAACAAAATTGGTCTTTTCTGGTCGAGAAAATGGGGATGTCACAATGTGGCAGCCCATGCCTATGAAATAACAGCCACACTAAACCTCAAATGACTATTAAAACGCATATTCTTGTGTTGACTTTTCACAAGGCACACAATTCAATTGGTCAAAATTTAGTTTGTGAACCTTATACATATGCATGGATATGTATTCCATCAAATAAAGGTTTTCATCCGAAGTTATAAAATCGAAAGCTAAGAGTTGATGCAGAAAATATAACTTAGGCACTAATGTAGGCATCGGATCAAGTCTGATTTCACTTACATGTTTTCCTTCGGATGTAAAACTCTAGTTTAGGGTATATATCCTCCCATTGAAAACATGTAAGTCAACTAGGGGGGAAATGGATGAAACATGATTCCATTCTCCTTTAAGTGCTATAGAAAACCATACTTTAGAGTACCATTTATGTAACATGGCAAACAGCCACCCGTTTATTGAAGGTGAAAAGACAAGGATAGCCCTGACTTTTCTTTTTTCACCATCACTTATATGTAAAGGGACATTAGGAAAATGAAGTTCATGCGTTGTGATAGGATTCACAAGCCAAAAGTCACAGGTTTTCTTGCCGAATAAAATCAAGTAACCACAAGTTAATCCAACACACTTCCTCCCAACTAACTTAGGAATGATGGTTTTGAACTTTCTTCCTTTAAAGTCCTATAGATAGCAATCCTTCTTATAAACATGTGGAGATATAAACAATAGCATTGGAGGTTTGGATGCCATACACGTGCTTCTGTTAGAAAGTGCAAGTAACCTCCATGACTTGCAAACTCTGCTAAATAAAAGAAATTCAACAACTCTGAGTCGCATCATAATTAGATAAAGCAAATCATGGTTAAGATCTGACCAGGGTGAGGGTACCCCAACCCTGATCCTCTTCCTGCTAGATGCATGGTAATTCTGGTTTCTAGGCATACTCCTTGTCTTAACCATTATGAAACCTACAAAATGTTCTTGAAGAAATAAACAAAACTGTGTTAGTAAGCAAAAATGTTTCACAATTTCATCAACAATAGTATATGGATTTGTTCATAACACATGTCTAAGCTAAGCCATGAAAATCCATAATGAAAAAAAAATAGAAAGAAGTATGAAGATAACGATATGGGTTTGTACATACACACATGTCTAAGTCAATTACTAACTAGAAAAACAAAAAGCTAATCAAACGAACAGTAAATAATGTATAATTTAACCCCTGAACCGGAAAAAAATATATTAAAAGTATTATTATTATTATTATTATTATTATTATTATTATTATTATTATTAATCAAGCAAACAAAATCAAATGATATTTGGAGAATGGAGAATAAAGAAAGTCTGAATCCAATAACCAACACCTATCATATTGATCGAAATACCAAACTACTCAAAACTAAATATTAATTAAGAAACCAGAAAAATATGTACTTCAAGAATACATGTAAACGAGTATCGAATTGTATGAATGTAAACCATTAAACCCAAGGTAATCAAGTAAACAACCACGCCGAATCCAAAATAATAAGCAAAACTATTCGACAAAAATTACTTGATTGACTGATGTATGCGATTTTGGTGGAAGAAAAGGCTTGAGTATGAGTAGAACACCAAAGATTCGCTAGTTTCGGGAAATTTATCCCTAATCGAATAGAAATCTCCTACAAGTCCGCTTGGCTCTGTTGACAAATAACATAATAGGATAACAAGAATAAATTACTACAAACCATCCATGGTATATTGGTTGTCAAGATCGTTTTTGGGTTTGCAAGATCGGGATCGAGATCTTAAGATCCCACAAAATAAAATATAATTTTAATTTATAATATTTAATCATGAAAAATATTTCAAACATTTAATTTTTCGTTCAAAAGCTATAAAAACTTCAAAAAATTAGTCATAAGTCACAATAAAAAATGATAAATGATAGATTGGTAAAGGGTAAAAGACATAAAGTGGTAAAAATATTTCATTTGCCAAAAAAAAACAAGGGAAGGTAGGATCGGATCGGATCTCGATCCTAGGATCCTACCTGTGATCCTACCCGAAATATGATCCTTTTACGATCCAGATCATTATTCATACCTAGGATCGTAGGATCGTACGACCCTAGGATCAGGATCGCGATCTTGACAACCATGTGTTATATTGTCAAAATTACACATTTACATGGTATATTTATTTATTTATTTATTATTAGACAAAATTGCAAAAATGGTCCTTGTGGTATGCATTTTTTTTGGGGTTTTAGTCCAAACCTCGACTTTTTTGGATTGGTGGTCCTTTTGGGCTGGTTTCTTTGCGTTTTTGGTCCCTCAGTAAACTGAAAAGACTATTATGCCCTTCTGATATATTTTTTATGCTTTTTCTATTTAATTTAAATGAAAAATAAAATAACTACCTAATTTGGGGCTGACATCTCTCTCTCTCTCTCTCTCTCTCTCTCTCTCTCTCTCTCTCTCTCTCCTTTGACGATTTTTTTTCTCCCCCGATCAAACCTTGAAACCACTATTTTCTAATGAAAATGGAAGTTGTAAACCAAAATAAGAACCTAAATCAACAACCTAAATCTCGAACCCATTTCTCCTTCTTCACACCAAAGCTTTGATAAGATAAACTAGCTCCAAACACCCTTCTTTTCATTCAGTTTTTGTTGCCATCAAGAAGAAGAACAGGAGGCAATTGCCTCTTCTACTTCGCCCGTCTTCTCGTTCGTTTCCTGTTATGAAATGTGTGACTCGTCTTGGAGATCGGAAAACAGAGACTGGTGTAAGGCAACAACCCCTTGTTGCTCCACCCTTTTACCTCTCGATTGTAGTCACTAAACTCCTCCTGAAGACTGTTGCGATCGTTGCTGCCTTTCCCCCTTTCATCCTCCATTTCTTCTTCGTTCCCTGGCCTGAACCCACCACCAAAATGGGTGTTTCCTCGGAGCAAACATCGGAGGTGGCAACCCCTTTTTGATTCCCCACCTTCGCCTCTTCCTTCTGAGACAGAAGAAGCGTAGGAGCTGAAGGCGGTGACAGGCTCGAAGATGATTGAAGCATCGAAGGTGATGACAATATGGCTGCTCCGTTGCTCCTCTCGATCGCTTTCCCCTTCTGTTGTTGATTGTAGAGGTGAGTAGCACACGAAGTGAACGGAGGGTGTTTGGGCTGTTTGATCGATGGGAAAGAAAATGAAGGAGGAAGGGAGTTGCAGAGGTAGTGGCAGCCACCAGTTCTTCTTCCCTTGCTGGTGGTATCCAAGAACGAGAGAGAGAGAGAGAGAGATAGAAAGAGAGAGAGAGAAAAGAGAGAGAGAGAGAGGTGGGCCCATTTTAATATTTAATAATAATACTAATTTAAAAATTAGAAAGAAAAATAAAAACTAAATTCATTAAGGGTATAATAGTCTTTTTAGTTTTGATAAGGACCAAAAATGCATGTAAACCAGCCCAAAAGGACCACCAATCCAAAAAAGTCAAGGTTTGGACTAAAACCCCCAAAAAATGCATACCATAGGGACCATTTTTGCAATTTTGTCTTATTATTTATTTATTTATTTATTTATTTTTCATTCAGACCATGTGGTTTTTTCTTATCTTTTGATTTTGGTCGTAGACTGATTTGTAATGACCAATATACTCTTGATTCGTTATTTTAATGTGTTGTTTATTTTTAAATTGTTTAATGAATATGGGTTATCACTTATCTCTTTACATCGTTTTCTCCATATGTTTTACATTCATGTCTCACTCTTCTCTTTAGTTGGAAATGCCGACAACCACCAATCTACTTTGACCATCGTTACCTCCTCTCTTTCTCTCTCTCTCTCTCTCTCTCTCTCTCACACACACACACACACATACTTACAAACCTCAATTTCTTTGTTGGAGCCATTGAAAAAGCAAATGAGTGATGGTGATGGAAGATAAAATTGTAGCAAAGGATTTGGTTTGGATTTTGGTACGTTGTCTTCCTTACGTCATCTTCTAGAAAATCACTACCGCTCTTTCATTCGGTGAAACCGACAACATCATCTGGAATATTCAAACAAGCCTCCATCGGAGACATCATTGACATCGTTTGGTTTCTTGATTTAAGGTGAAATACTAATGTGCGTAATCCCAACTGGTTTCATATGGTTTTTTTTATTTAAGGTCATCGATTTCATCTGGTTTCTTAATTTAAGTTTTAATTTTCGGATATTGTTTTGCTTTTTTGCTTATGATTTTAGAATTTGGTAGGGATTTGGTTTTGATGTCATCGTCTTCCTCCCCTTTAACCCAAACCTACTTGCGACTTATAAATTTACGAATTTTCTGGGATTTTTGTGTCTATTTGTTGATTTTTTGGTTTTTTAGGCATCGACAATGGTGGATTCTTCTAGGTTTGAGCATCAATGTTTTGGGCATTTTCTGAGTTAAAATTACAAGTTTTCATTTTAGGTTTAACTTGTAGATTTAAAGAGGTGGAGGTTGTTGGTGATTTTAGTGTGACCTGACATTTTTTGTAATTGGAACTGAAATGTGAGCTAAGGGCTTAATGTGAGTTAAGGGCTTACTGTTTGTACTCTATATTATATGTTTGGCGAATGCGGAATGCATGTATATATAAGATCGAATTATAAGCTGATAGATAGAAATGCGGCGGTCAAGGGGGCTATGCCCCCTTATTGTTGGATTAGTGTCTAAGTCCATAACAATTTTGGTATGTACTTGACCCGATGGTGCGTGGTCGTTTTGGGTTGCCTTCACCAAAGCAACTTGATAGGATGAATTATGGAGAGAAAGGATTAATTATGATTTATTAATATATTATGAGAATAATATATTAAAGGAGAAATCATATTGTTTAATTAATATTAGTCAAGAATTAATAAGAATTAAGTTTGTGGCTAAAAGACATTAATTAAACTTAAGGACTAGAACTGTTAATTGTGTGATAGTTGAATATTGGGCTAATGGACTCCATATTAGAGGGGTGGACAAATTCTATGGGGAAACCCATCAGAAATCGTCATAGGCCTCTAAGGAGGGAGTCCATGGGTTGCTTAGGGCCTAAGCATCCAAATTAGGGTTTCCTTGTTAGATAACCCTAATAGCCTCACTATTTAAAGGACCCTTGACTCAAAAACGTGGTGAACTTGTTCCTTAGGGTTTCCACACGTTTTGGGCAGCCTCCTCTCTCCTTATTATTGATCCTCTTGCTCTTGGTGTTTGTGAACCATTAGAGGAGTAACATTTGTGACTCTAAGCTTTCTAAAGTCATTACAAGGAGGATTTGTGATTGTTATTGCTACATAACAATCAAGGTAAGATTTAAAACCCCAGTCTTATGTTAATATGATTAATTGTATGCTAGATCTAGGGTTTAAAGTCTTGGATGAATTTCATGTACAATAGAGAAACCTAGATCTAAGCATTAGGGTTTGCATGAGCACATAGGATGTTCTTATGGCTAAATCCCATCAGTGGTATCAGAGCCTTGATTGGTTTCTATTGTATTGATGCTTATTTGATCGAAATTATCACTGGAAATCGAAAATTTTGCTTCTGAGTGTTTGACTCGCCGAGTCAGCTGTACTCGACGAGTCCAAGTCCAGACTCGACGAATCAAAGGGTCTGACAGCTCGTTTTCGTGATTTTCTTTCTGTTCTGGCTTTGGATAATTACCATAAACATGTTTTTATAATAAAATCCAAATTTTATCAATATTTGGTGATTATCCTTACCAAAATAGAAGATAATTGTCAAAATTTAGATAATCATTTGTGTTATTAAATAAAGTTTGATTATTTGTAATTTAGATTTGAATTATCTTGTGAAAAAGTTTCTATTTCCCCCCTTTAGGTTTTATAGTTTAAATTTGAACTTAAAAGTTTTGTTTTTGAAATTTAAATAAGCTAAACCCTAATGTTTTGAAATGTTTCAAAACCTGCCCTCAAGTTTTGGAATTTAAAAGTTGATTAAAAGTTTAATTTAGAAATGTTAAATTCTAAAACCTTAGTATAGTTTTGAAAAGTTCAAATCGCACCCTTATGGTTTTATTAATTAATTAAAGTGTATAATTAAAAGAGATTTAATAAATCCATAAAGTTTTGGTTTACAATTTAATTAAATTAAAAGTATAATTGTTAAATTTGACCACCTAATATTTTAAAAGTGTAAAATACACCCTATACTATATATAACATTAAAAGTCTAACATTATATATATGTATGAGTAAAAGTCAGTCTTACCGTTAGTAGACCTCATTCACGAAGCTGGTCTATAAGGGGTGTTTAAGGAAATTGCCTATAAAATGGCGATTGAATGGGTATCCACTCTTACCCACCACACTCTTGACTAGTGGAGGGTCGTTAGCCGAACGGGTAGGATAGGACAGAAGCCTTCCATTATAAGTATAATGAAGTACAAAAGTAACTAAATGCTTTACAAATTCCCAATCTTAGTTACTTTAGGAAAAAGTGAATTGATGAAATTCCATGAAATTACACTTTGTACCCTTGCAAAGACGTTAGTGGACCGTGGGGTGGTTTACCAGCACACTAAATGGTTCTAAGCAAAGATAGCAAAGGGTGACTCAATGTTTGTCATAGTTCGGTGGAGCGTGTGTGGTTAACTGACACATCGAATAGGTGACTGTAACATGTGGGGGCACCATTTAAGTTTGCATGGTTATTCACACCCTGTTTTGTGATCCTCGGCATCCCAGTCACAAATCGAGGGGGCATATCGAGATTTAAACATGCCATTGAAAAGTTCAATGTATCTCAAAGGATCTAGGAGTTTTCAAAGCATTTAAAACTTAATCGGTTTTTCGTTTTTCATGGTGGAAAATTAGTGAATCGTCATTCACTTACCTTCAAATATTCTGCAACTAGATTACGACATCCCTTTTCTAGGTTGTAGCGTATTGTGTTGGGTCCTAGCCTTAATATCTCATTTGGGTGATTTATTAAGGACTCAATCAATCAACTAACTTGAATTTGTTTTCTCCCATTTTGTAGATGTCAAAGTATGACAAATATGGTATTCCCAAATCCCGTGGAACAAGCTTTCCACATGAAGATGATATTCCACGATTCGATAGAGGAAAAAGAGATCATGCCTCACTTCCTCCACCTCCTACAATTATTCTCCCTAGCCCACAAGTTCGAAGGCTTGAAAAGTTCAAGCTCACTCAAGCCCTTTTGGCAAGTAAACATGAAGAAGGAAAGTCGGTGTGTGCACACATCCTAGAGATGAAGTCACACATTGATAGGATAAGAATATTGGGATCCATCATCTGTGAGGAACTGGCTGTTGACTGGGTTCTTCAGTCACTTCCTAACTCATATAGTGAGTTCGTAAGAGAGTACTATGTGATGAACCACGACGTAACCCTAATAGATCTCACCTACATGCTTATTGCTGCTGAATCAATGATGATTTGGCGCACTGGAAAAGCAAAGTTGATTGGTTGATCGGCCTTCTAGACCTCTATGGATATAGGCAATGTCAATGAAAGGCATGCAAGGATCGAAAAGTTTGATCATAACAGAAAGGCAAAGTCAGAAGTAGATCCGTGTGCTATTCCAAAAGAGTCAATTTGCTTTTATTGCCAAGAGAAGGGGCATTGGAGACGAAGCTGCCCTATTTACCTAAGAGATCTAAGAGATGGGAGAGTCAAAACGTATGGCTCTGCTTTACGTAAAAAAAAATCCATTAACTAACTCTTTTAAGTTCCTATTCTAGATTCTTAATACATGATGTGATAAGATTAGATTTCGATGTTTTATAGGATCAAAGAAAAGGAGAGGAAGCTTAAGGGAAGAAGTGAGCGGAATCTAATTGTGAAGAAATGGATTTCGATCGCATTGCTTGAAGATTGGATTCTTGAGCAACTACTTGGAGTTAGAATAAGATTGCTAATAAATATGTATTAACATAGTTTTTCAATTAAATTGCATTGTAAGGACAAATTTTTCCGGAATAAAATAAATTTTGATTTTATATTATTTATTTATCCTTGCAATGGCGTGTATGAAAAATTGATGTTTGTAAGTTTATATTATTAGAAATAATGGATTTGATTCTTAATTATGTTATTTGTGGAAAGGTCAAGAATTTACCAAATAGGGAAAGTTTCTCATCGCCCAAGTCTCAATTGGATAAAGACTTGGAATCATACAACTTGGTTGCATGATGAATGAGAAATTTCATATTTGGAAATTAGACTAATTCAAGTGAAGGACTAGGAGATCAAGTATACAAGGTTGTGTGTTAATCAAGTCCACCACAAGAGTGACAAAGATATTTGTCATGATTTACTAAAGGTTTAGTGGATATGATTATGCTTATAAGATTAAGTGTAATTCCGAGTTGATTTGAAAGAGTTTCAATCAGTAGCAGAACGAATAAGAAGAATCAAGTAGGCAGAAAGATAAAAGTTTCTCCATTGTAAGAAGAAGGGAGAGTACCTTTTATTATGTTTTATGATATATCTTAATGATTAAGAACCATATCTCAATTGATCCTCTAAGTGAGTCTTAGAACAATTGTATGTCTGAGAAGAGGAATCAAGAATTGAAGAAATGGTTAAATCAAAAGTCAATCATACTTCGTTCCAAAAACAAGTCTTAGAATTAAGATTGTGACATTGAGTGACAAGTCTTAAGAAGGTTTATAACATTCATCAAATGTGGAAAGTTGTGATGTCTTGGATAAGACAAAGACCAACTAGGACCAATTTTATGAAGTGTTCTGTCTTAATAAAAGCTACACCAACTCTTGAATATTTGTTTGTCAATAAATGTTTATTGACAAGAGAATCTTATATGTCAAGGAGTCAGTAGGAGTCTTAATGGTCTTTAAAGGGTTCAAGAGCAAATCAAAATAAACCTTATCGAACATCACTAGCACATGACTTGAGGTTTACAACCTATCGTGTTGACAATATATTTTTTCTGTTCCGTTCCAATTGAGTTAATTATGCATGTAAGTTCTATGAGTTCTCATTTGAATGCATAAAAGGAAAGCACCTTGATCAATGAAAAGTACATTCATAAGAAAGGGTGAGCTGCTTAACTACTTGGAAGACATGGTGGGCAGCCATGTTACCATAAGGAAAGAGACCAAGATTAAGAAAGTTCGGTCCATAAGAGTTTGGATTTGTCGCAAACTTTAGTTTTGACAATTCGCATGGATAGGAACACATACACCATTAAAATCTAAGTGACCTAAGATTTTCTCCTTCATGAAGATGACTGTGAGGAAATTCTTTTACTAAGAGAGATTTTAAGAAGATAGCGATTGTGAAATTGTATTCTCACATTCGATTATGGTTACGGTATCCCTTTCCATGATCCGAATTGTGAGATTTGGCAATTAGTCTGAATTGTTTAGACACACATATGAGCTATCTTAGACAAAGGTGTATGAGATTAAGAAGCTTAGATTATCAAAGCATTAAGTATTAGAAATATGAACTTAAGAAATTCAATAGGTATTGTTTTTCTGGAAGTTAAGTTGTTTTCTAGCTACATGTCAAAGCTTGTGGGAGCATAAGTGTTATGCTTATATGATAATAATCATCATGATAGTGGGGGCATAAATATTATTCTTGTAGGATTATTAAGGCAAGTATTGCAAGTTAGCAATATTATTTATAGAAAACAAGAGTTATACTTTGCAAAGTCGTAAGGGTTGAAAAGTTGTTCTGCTATAATTAAGGGAGAGAATATTGTACTTCGTTTCAAAATCTAAAGCTTAGATTAGGAAATTTTAATAAATTTAGTCAAAGGATACATAGTGTGTTCTTAAATTTCAATTATGATTACGGTATCCCTCTTCATAGTTCGAATTGTGAGAATGTGACATATAAAATATTATGGAAAAAGATTGATAAAGTATTGTATCTTTATGTAAGACATTATGCATCGTATCCCATACGCTTCGGGTAAAGGATCGATTACAGATGCTATAATATTTGACCATTTTAAAATTTACCAAATGTCTGGCACATTTAGAAGGAAAAAGGACAAGAATCGGTTTTGACTAAGATAATTAAACAGCTATCAAAGGACGATCCAAAGTTCGCCGATGAATGGTCGCTTGTGAGTAGTTGGAAGTATGGTATTGGATGGACCATGTCGGCATTATTATGAATAAGATAAGATTATATTATGAATGAATTGTAACATGGCAAACATGGAAATGTTTCCATATTGGGAGTTAGATATTGAGAGTCTATGTCTAGATTAGAAAATTTTATGCAAAAGGATGTTCAAGGAATGTACTTTGAGTGAGAGACATCATGTCTATGGAATTGTATTGTAACAATCTTAGATAGAGGACTTTGTAATTTCATTGGCAATAGTCATTGTGACTTTTGTACTATGACATTATGAAAGGATCATTGCATAAAATGTTAGAATCTAGCATATTCTATAAGTGGTAAGAATTTGATATTCTTTCACTTGTGAAAAAGGATTAGAATTTGTGAAATGAGTATGATTGGAAATGTATTCATTTGATCTATTTCACAAAGTAAGAACCGTAGGTAAACACTGTGTGCATGCTAAGAGCATGGGACAAGTGTAGTAATAATTCAAGTAAGAAATTGATTACCTGAAACAACAAATAATGAGTAATCAATATGGTGATAGATAAAAGGTGTTTTATTTATACTCAAAAGTTTGGGGCCATATAGGATTAGTATTATTCTTGTGTTTCACTTTGCATGTTTTGACTTCCTGAATAATTTAATTGGTTCAGAACAGTCAAATTATTCGAACGGACCACAGTCGTTCATATGTTGGAAGTAGGTATGAATGAAGACTGTCGTGAATTGGTGTGTGGATTGTCTAAAGTGTATTAGACATAAGCAATTGTTTGCAGCAACGTTCATGAGTGCTTATGAATATGATTTGAGCATTGGATTAAACCCACGCTCACTTGGATCACTTCATGGATTTTATTACGAGTGATTGGTGAGACGATAACATCTTATATTCTTGAAACCGAGATGTGTGAGTTGTATCTTATGAGTCGGTTGCACATTGATAATATCTAAACGCACCAGTAACTTGGTGTTATAAAACATATTGTTGTGTCTAATTCGGTAAGTGAGTGCAAGCGAGCATTGAGTCAAAGTTTATCCGTTCCTTTTATCCAAAGTAGGATAAAAGCGATATTTTTGGGCCCCTCGATGATTTACTGATGGCACCTAAGCGCTTGGCCGAGCCGGGACTAATTTGATGTGATCAATTATAGTTTGTTGTCAGTCGTCATAAATCGGAAGTCGGGAAATAGTATAGAGAGAATGATTAGAATTCATGTCTTATATCTATACGATATCAAGAATGGAGGAATATATGATCCCTTATCTAAAGGACACGCGTATCAGATAAGATCAGAGTTGAAAACGGCTTTGGAAAGCTACGATTGCAGATTAGGATCTGAAGTCATACGTAGAATAGTTATTAGACTTATCCAAGTGGGAGACTGTTGGATTAGTGTCTAAGTCCATAACTATTTTGGTATGTACTTGACCCGATGGTGCATGGTCCTTTTGGGTTGCCTTCACCAAAGCAACTTGATAGGATGAATTATGGAGAGAAAGGATTAATTATGATTTATTAATATATTATGAGAATAATATATTAAAGGAGAAATCATATTGTTTAATTAATATTAGTCAAGAATTAATAAAAATTAAGTTTGTGGCTAAAAGATATTAATTAAACTTAAGGGACTAGAACTATTAATTGTGTGATAGTTGAATATTGGGCTAATGGACTCCATATTAGAGGGGTGGACGAATTCTATGGGGAAACCCATTAGAAATCTTCATAGGCCTCTAAGGAGGGAGTCCATGGGTTGCTTAGGGCCTAAGCATCCAAATTAGGGTTTCCTTGTTAGATAACCCTAATAGCCTCACTATTTAAAGGACACTTGAGACTAAAAAATGTGGTGAACTTGTTCCTTAGGGTTTCCACATGTTTTGGGCAGCCTCCTCTCTCCTTATTCTTCATCCTCTTGCTCTTGGTGTTTGTGAACCATTAGAGGAGTGACATTTGTGACTCTAAGCTTTCTAAAGTCATTATAAGGAGGATTTGTGATTGTTATTGCTACATAAAAATCAAGGTAAGATCTAAAACCCCATTCTTATGTTAATATGATTAATTGTATGCTAGATCTAGGGTTTAAAGTCTTGGATGAATTGCATGTACAATAGAGAAACCTAGATCGAAGCATTAGGGTTTGCATGAGCACATATGATGTTCTTATGGCTAAATCTCATCACTTGTAGGGTCTTAGGGGAAGCGCCCCTGATGGGGTCCAAGGGGTAAAGCCCCTAGCGGTGGTCCCGTTGAGCCGTATACAGAACCCTTCCCAAATATTCTTTTTAAAAGATTAAACCCTAATTTGTTATTCATATATACGACTCCTCTTTTGAGCCTTATACATAACCCTTCTTAGATCTCTTTGAACGAACACTACTAGAAAAATAGCCTTTTACGAAGCTCAATGTGCGTCATAAAAGGCTCAGATGACGCGCAAATGCGCGTCAAGGAAGGCCATGTCAAAAAGAGAGACGACGTGCATTTACGACGCTCATTTACGACGTGCAATGACGACGCGTCTTTACGACACATAATGCGTATCAAGGAAGGCCACGTCATTAAGGAAGATGACACGCATTCATGTGTCGTAACCTTACGACACGCGTGTTAATGACACGCAATGCGTATCAAGAAAGCCCCTGTCAAGAAAGGCCATGTCATAAATGAGGATGACACACATTTTTGCGTATCATAATTTTAAATGTTAAAAAAAAAATATTATTTATAGATTTACTAATTTTCAAATTAAATAATACATTAAAAATCTCATAATACAAAATAAAATACCATAAATAACAAAGATGATTCATTTCACTAATATGTCAAATACAAATAATTATTCTAAAAGTGAATAAATGTTATAAAAAAATGAACTCATTTATATACAATTGCATCATCTAGCTTACTATGTGCCAACAACTGTGTGTTTTACTTTTTCTTGAGTCTCGTTTCCTCCAAAGCTTGTAGCCATGCCAAAATATGATATCTTGAGTCTCGTTTCAAGAACCAAAATCACCTTCAATCCCCCAATTAAACTCTAATGTTGGTAGACTGAGTGTTCCAGACTCAAGTTTACATCCATCACCTTCAATCACCTAATTAAACTCTAGATCTTCTGTTGTTTGAAAGAAATTGGTGTTTGTAATCTATGAAAAAAAAAACGCAAAGACCAAGGTTAACATTTGCTATATAGAAAGCACAACTGGGCATATGAATATATAATACGCAACATAAACATTTTCATGAAAATGATATAGACAAATAAGTAAGAGTGATGACATTGATACCTTAATTACGCCATTGGTGAACGACATTTTAATTGGTTGATAGTAATACTTGACCTATGAAAACAAATAAACAAAGTATCGCATCATCATTAGCTTAATGGTTTAAGCTACCAAATTACCTTTGAGAACCAGCAGGTGAAAACACTATGTGACCGGCTACTCTTATTGTTCATATCTGTTCCTGCCACTTTTATATTTGCAGCACCCTGATAAAGATTGAAAACTAATTTTAAATTCAATATAATCATAAATAAGAAGTAACAAAGTGTAAAGGGGATTCGATTGTACAATGTTATTAAGAGGTTTTCCCTAACTATATATAACCTAATACTACATTGCTATTAAGGGACACCTTGTTTAAAGTAACTATGACAGGAGTTGCAGTTGTGTCAAATTGTAGAAACTCTTCATCACTAACATCAACTTCTAGTTGTTTGTCAAAAGGAGCAGTTGAAGCAACTATGATAGGAACTGCATACCAAAAAAAATTATATTAACCAAAAAAAAAATAAAACCTGCATTCCAACATAAAGAACAAGGGAATTCATTAATGGCACATTGTATCGTATTCCTGCCCTTGCTGCCTCACTTGGTGAAATAAGAAGTTTCTACTTTGGTTCAGACAGAAAAGAAGTCCCTTGTGGCCTTGTTTGTATAAGTATAACAAAACAAAATTATAAATTAATAAATGAATCAGAATTGTTAATAGTTTGTTTTAGTTTTAAAGTACCTTTAGATACTCGTCCACATCATTTTTCATTCGCTTAGTTTTTAGAGATGCATCAACTTCCGACAGAATGCAAGGTGACCGACTAATCTCAGCTAGCAGATCAATCTGAATAATTAAAATAATAATAATAATAAGTCAATAATGATCACTGAAAGTTACAATTAATTATACTATAAATAAGAAAAGAAAAATACAACGAACCTTTAAGTTGGGAGTTGAAGGGTCAGGTTGTCTCACGGTGAACCACACGCAGAGAATGTAGATACTCCAAAGCAAGAACCTGCAGTGCACAATATATCAAAACTGAAACTAATTTGAATTCAACAAACTTCCATTCATTTGTCTGTCTATTATAATTTATTTAATCATACTTTCAAAAATATATTCTACCCAATTATATTTATAGCAATATCCCCCACAAAAGAAAAAAATTGGAAGTAATGATACAAATTTGCATTATGGGAGAGGTTTATTATTTAAAGCACTCAAAGGTTGTTAGAATAACATTTTGCATTGTAGGGGGCTTAGTGTTATTTTTATTCTTTCGTAACAACCTATTGACTAAGTGTTTTGGTTAGCAAGTTAGAATAATAGTATATATATAGGGTGTTAGGGTTAGGGATTTGGTGAGCAGAAATTGAATTTACTACTTATTGAACTGTAGACCTATAACTTTACTTTCTTTTAGCCAGTTTATATCATATAATTGGCATTGGATAGATTTTTCAGGGTACGATGTCTTGATAAGAAATGAAATGAAAATAAAAACATACCACTTCTGCAATGTATATACGAGCAACATCTTCATCCAAGCAGCCTAAGTTTCTCAATAACGAATATAAAGCACCGCCATTCAAGTATTCCATGACAAGGTACAAATTTTCGCGACAAGTAAAAGAATAAAAGAAACGGACCTGTCACAATTTAATTATTTCATATTTGATTATATTTTCTAAAGAAAGACCAAAAAAATTATATATTATTACCACAAAAGGATTGACAACTGATATCAAAATATCACGTTATGCCAATATACTCTCGACCGCATTCTTCCGGATCATGTCAACTTTCTTAAGAACCTGCCAAAAAAAATCCATAAATATAAATATATAATAAAAAAATGAAGAATGAAAGGGTGAGGTACCTTTATAGCGAAAAGATCTCCTGTGGTTCTCTTTTTGGCTAAAAAGACGCGCCCAAATGCTCCACAATACTAATCGGTTTTATAATCTCAAAGTCATCAATGGAAGTGCGGTCCTTATTTCCGGAATGTATAGGGCTGGTTCTCAAGCTCTGTACCACATCATCCTCCAATGGAGCATCTTCATCAATAACCGTGCTTGCGATGTCAACTTTTTCATCATCAACCATCTCACACATCTACAAATACTTCTCCCTGCTTGTAACAACTAATAATTAACATTTATGATTCAACAAACACACACCTCATAAAAACATGTTTATTATAAAAATGTTATCACCGAATAAGCTTCTCTATGCGTGCTCCAAATGCCTCGACGTTCAGGGCATCAAACTTTCTCCGGTCGATCACAATTCTTAAGTCATCAAGACACGTCAACAGATACGACAAAGATCGGTCATCATCCAATGGCATATTGCCAGCACATCGAGCAATATCAGCAAGCTCATTCATCTACAAATATTTCAATATCAATACCTATATCTCATAACAAGTAAGAACCTATTACCTACCTGTGGAAGGTCATCATGTTCAGAATAGGCACCCTTCCCTGCCAATAACAAGTCTATCTGGCTGGTTTTTGGTGTCATCAATGGCGACCTAGGAGTCATGCTGCTAGCAGATGATGTGGTCATTCCTTGGTCAGATTTAGGACCAAAGCGGGTCCTACATGACATGGAGGGGTGAGCTTTAAGTATGGGTTTTTATTTCTTGGGTTCCAGCATCCCGTGTTGTTCCTATCAAAATAAATATTTTATTTCAGCTTTTTATGTGTATGAGTGGAAAACTAATACTGTGGGAAATGACCATTCTGACCTTCGTTAGGGTTGTTACCTTTCCAGGTGGGGACGTCCTTGAAATATTCATGTCACCATCCACTAGCAAATACCGATACCCTTTCACATGATAAGCATTCTCACCACCCCATCCCTTTGCATTCTTCTCCTCAACTTTAACAATCTTTCCAAACACCTGCCAGATAGATAAATAAACAAATAAAAATAATAATCCATTCTTAATGTAAAAGGGTAAAATAGGAAACTGACATTTTCAAGAAGTTGTTGCTTCAACATGGAGATCCCTTCTTCTACATTAAGCATAGAGGTAACAAGTATGAGTAAGATTATTGTAAGGCTTTTATGTTGATAAAAAAGAGGAATAATAATAATAATAATAATAATAATAATAATAATAATAATAATAATAATAGCTACAACCTCATTTTAAATCCTTGCTCGAGATATGACTTTATCGCTTAATATTCTCTTCATTACCTATAAACACCAATCATATAATAGAATTAATAATTGAATATTTGAATATCCACCCATGTACAATCTATTGTTTAAAGATTAAGAAAAGAATAAGAAGTCTTGCCTCTGGGAAAGGAAAGGAGATTCAACTAGGTAACGATTATTTTTCAGTACAAGCTTTACTTTTCCATAATTGGATGTTGAAGCATGAATGAAATCGATAGTCTCTTTAGGGAGCTTGGAATTTGAAACCTTGTTCAACACATCTATTATGGTTTTAGTTTCTAGACCCACTGACACAGCTGCATAAAGTGAGTGTGGAGTCAAGTTGTGCCGAGGCGACCCGAGTTCAATGGTTTTAGTTTCTAGACCCACTTTTGGGTAGACTTCCCATTCATCAGGAAAACTTATGTACCTAAAATCTAAATCTGTACTCAATAGAAAAATGTTGGTTTCAAAATTCATATGTTATCTGTGTAAAGAAATACAATCATCAACTTCAATGGTAAGGAAATATTAGGGTTCAACATATCATGTATCAATCTACAACTAGAAGATATGTAATGATCTCTGAATCATAAGCATAATGGCCTATAAAAATTAATGCAAAACTAACTCCTAAATCAGAGATTAACATGAAATGCATCCAATTTCAAGTTTCCTAAACCTAAGCTCGAAATACAAAGAGAGATAGAGAGATCGTAGGTCATGTATCAGGCTGTTCTTCCACAAATTGAAGCCAGTACACCATCGGAAGGTCCATATATCAAATCCTATAATATGAATCAAACATAGATTTCACCTAATTTTTCTTCCTGGTTTAGACCATTGTTGCCACAAAAGAATTATTTTACAATTTCGATAATATTCAATAAGTCAAAATCAGTATGGATATTAAAGAGAGTCAATAATGTAACCTAAATTCATGGAATTGAGAGCTTTTGGGTGATCGAGAGTGATAACTACGACGCCGTTCGGAAACAACTTTCCCTTGACAAAGTCATTGGCAGCGGCACTGGGCATGGCCGTGAACTTCCTTAGAGAGAGAAAGCGATCAGAGTTGTAGAGGGATATTTTGCGATCAACTTTGGGCAAAATAGAAGATAATCCATACATGAACAAAAAAAAATTAGATTTGTATTTCTAGGTGCAAGCGTTATATTTGTACTGACCTACTACTGGAGGTCCAGGTATTGTTCTTGCAGCTGGGATGGTGAGACAGGCTATCTCCGCCACTGGCCGACGGCCTTACCAAATCTTCCTCATTCATAAATGCAACAGATCTCGGCGCAGGTTCTTGACACCGATATGCACCGATTCAACAGCTACCAAGTTTGATAGAAAATTGAGGAAAATCGTCTTGAGAGGGGAAGTTATTTGGGAAGAACTTGAAGCATTTGAAACCCTAGACCTTGATTCGATGTAACTTGACAATGGACATTGTAGATTGATAGATTGAAGACCTGGAGCGATCCCTTGTGAAGAAAGTTGCGCGATTACAGAGAGTCCTTGTTCACCAAATCCAAAGATTCCGTCAATGGCTCTATCGGGTTTGGTTAAATCCCCAGTTTGGAATGTGCTACATTTGGTTCATGAACTTGCCAAGTCAATTAGGGTTTTTTTTAATGAAAAATGAAAAGGGTTAATGGATTGGGATGATGTCGTACCTGAGAAAACAAAGAAAACAAAGAGACCTCACAGATCAATTACGATTCACCTTCGAGGTTTACAGAGAGACGGGAGGTAGAGAATGAAGGGAGATCTAGAGGAGAGAGTATCAGAGAGGGGAGAGTGGATTGCAAGGATGAAAAATAGATAGAAGATAGAAAAAACAAGGCGGGTTTTCAAAATTTTGGGGATTTCATTTCCCCCTTGTCTATTAAAAGCGCGTTTCATTAAAATTATAAAGCGACAGGTACAGACGACGCGCGTTTAAGATAAAGCACCCTCCGTGTTTTTAATTTTTTTTCTTAAGACACTAAATTAAGGGCACGCAATAATGCGTGATGTAAATCCTTAAATTTTTTGGAGAGATGACACTATTCTAAGGGCATGTCCTTTTGCGTATCATTAATCAGCACGTGTCGTAAAAAGCGCGTCATTAAAGGTCTATTTTCTAGTAGTGGAAATCAGAACTTTCCAGGGATTTGGCTTGTAATTCTATGCCTAGATACACAAGTGTCCATTTGTATTATCCTAGACTATATTTCCTGTAACCCATGCATAGGGTGAAAATATCAATTCAGAAAGTGAACTTACACGATCCATAAGAAATTCGGTTTTCCAGCATCACCCAACTAATATTACTCCCCAACAGAGTTGGTGGTGGACGTTGGCAGTAGTAGATGTCGATATTGGTGGTGGTTAATAGCAGATATGGTAAATGTATGGAGTGGTGTTTGTTGGGGTCGAATGTTTTTGTGAGATGTCGAATGTGTCTTGGTCTTTCCAAGTGTCGAAAATCTATTTGTAAATTTATTATAAGGGGATTTTTAGGTTCGAAGCTATAGTGTCGAGTCCCTTATATTTTTTGTTTGCTTTCTTTATCCCTATAAATATGGGATGGATACATGTCTTAGAGGTTAAGAACTTTTGTACACTCATTGTACTCATTGTATAACCTCTTGTATTCTATGAAAGCAATAAATTGAGCCAACCGGATTATATTTAGATTTCGTGTTCTATATCTTTTATTAACTCTGATTTCTTATTCAAACTTGATTCGATCAACAATACATTTGGTATTGGAGCAGGAATCATTTTGCATTGATATGATTTTCTCCTATTTCAAAAAGTATTTTAAGTCTCATTCTAGATTCAAAAGTTTCCGCACTTTTGATTTCGAAAACCTTATTAGATCTTCAATAGTGATTCGATTCTGCGATTAGATTTTTTAATCGAGTGTTCTGTTTCTGTTTTCTGGTTGATTCATCCATTAATTTTCAAATTCCAAAAGCTTTTCTCAAAAACCTTCTATATTACAATTGCAAACTTTAACATGAACACCACGACATCTTAATCTCATCTTCTTAGATCATCAACAAAGAATCCTATGTTGATTCCTGAGTTCTACGATCAATGGGTTGATCGTATGGCAGATTACTTAAATGGAATTGATGAGGAACTCTAGAAATGCATCACTAATGATGTCCATCCTCCTTCTTATGTTCGAAGTGTTGGAACGTCGACTACAAATCCAAATGTTAATGATCAAACTGAAAGGATGTTGAAAAATGAAAAAAGATGTATGCAAGAACTCTGTTGTGCTCTTCCACCAGTTGTATACAATTATGTTCGTAGCTGCAAAACCTCAAAGGTGATATGGAATACTTTAAAGGAGAAGTATTATGGCAGTGAGAAAAAAAATATGTTTAGTCAAGCATTGTCTGTTGGAGTTAAGAGAGTTTAAGCAAAAAGGAGAATCCATTGAATTGTACTATGATCGTCTGAATGAACTCATAAGCAAGTGCAATATATATGGGATCACAAGTTCGACAATGGATTTCAATCTCACATTCATTATGGGGCTTCACAAAGAGTGGCGAAATGTTAGTCTGATGGTGAAGACACAACAATGTTTCGACTATTTTTCACTAAATGATGTATACAATGTGTTGAAAGCACATGAATCAGAAGTGAATGAAATAGCTGAAGAAACAAGGATCAGTCTGGGTGGACCGCTTGCACTTGTGGCAAAGGTTTCTGGAAGAGAGAATGAGAATGAAGTGGCTGAAAACGAGATTTAGAAAGATGAAGGTGTGATAGTCAACTTTGATGACGAAGCTATAGCCTTTTACTCAAACAATCGAGTGAAAAAGTTTTATAAAAAGCCTTTTAATTCAAAAACAAGAGCAGGTGAAGCTAAGGGAAGTTTTTCCAGGGAGGTAAATGAGGAAAAGAAGATTGAGAAGAAAGAAGTAAAGAATGAAGAGTCGAAGGTGGAGAAAAAGATCAAAGGATCCTCTGGATTTGATTGTCACTATTGCAACAAAGAAAATAACATGGAAAATGATTGTATGTTACGAAAGAGTGACGGAAATAAAAATAGGGTCAAGGATGAAGCTTATTATTCGGAGAGGTTAGAGGAAGTGAGAGCAAGGACGAAAGGAGTATCTCTTGTTGTGAAAGGGGAAGATGATGAAGTGGGAACATATCAGATATGGTCCTCAGGCTCCGATGATGAAGAAATGTGAAATCCTTCGCATGGGGCCATGTTCGCAAGATATGAGGAAAAGGTGGAAGAGATTTTACTGGGAAGTTTTTTGTTTCAACATCTACTCATAAATCCCTAATGACTTCACAGGTACGTTCTCTTTTACAATCCTTTAACATTCCTTTCGATTCATACAATTTAATTTTATTTGAGTTTGATGATGCAATTA